GCACCGGCAGAGCTGCGGAGGGAGGGGAGCGGGGGGCTGAGCGTCGGGATTGAGGGGCACCGGCAGAGCTGTGGAGGGAGAGGAGCAGGGGGCTGAGCGTCGGGATTGAGGGGCACCGGCAGAGCTGTGGAGGAAGGGGTGCGGGGGGCTGTGCGTCGGGATTGAGGGGTGGAAGGCCTTGGATCCAGTTCCCTGACTTCACACAGTGCCCTAGGGAGCAGGGCAGGAGCGCTGGCTGGGGGGGAGCTCCCAGCTATTCCAGCCTGGCCTCTCCCAGCAGGGGGCGCTGTCGGGTCTCCAGGAGTGGCCCTGGTGGCAGAGTTGAGGTGGGCCTAGGCTGTGATGAATCCAAAGGGGCTTCTCCCTCGAGGCTGCCAGTCACAGACAGACTCCAGTGGTTCTCAGGGGCTCCCCAGCCTGCGCTGCCCCATGTCCCCACCAGGGGGCTCCCTATGTCCTAGCCTGCAACAGTCATGGTGAGAGTCCCTGCCCCACACAGAATGGCCATTCAGCTGGTTGTTAGTGGGGGGATGGGTACTTGGGGGATGACAGTGTGTGGGAACGCAGGGAGGGATGGGGTGTGTCGTGTGTGGAGGTGGATGGAGGCATGTGGGGGGAGGGATGGGCAGGTGTGGGCAGTGGGATTGGGAGATGGGTGTGGGGGGGATTCGGTGAGGCAGAGGTGGGGTGTGTGGAGGTGGATGGAGGTGTGGGTGGGGGAGGGAGGCGGAGATGTTGATAATTCCCCTCCCCCTAGCGCTGAGGATGGAGGCGTCACCCCTCCGCCCCCGCCATGGCCCTCGGCTTCCACTTTGCCTCCCCCAGCCCCTCTCCCTGCCCCACTGCCGGTCCAGGCTGGTCCCCACCTCACTGGGCCTGCAGCCTGATGGTGAGGCGACGGCACCACCTGCTGGCCATGCAGGGGAAGGGGGTTGCACTAGTGGCCATTTCACAGCGTCCGGCTCTGTGTGTTCGGGGGCAGGCGGGTGCGTGCAGTTGCAGTATGAGTGGAGCCCTACCAAATTCACTTCCATTTTGGTCAATTTCACAGTCATGAGATTTTAAAAATAATGAATTTCATGATTTCAGCTATTTCCATCTGAAATGTCAGGGGCTGTAATTGTTGGGTCCTGACCCAAAAGGAGTTGGGGGGGTCACAAGGTTATTGTATGGGGGGTTGCAGTGCTGCTGGTGGGGCGCTGCCTTCTGAGTTGGGTGCCCGGCCAACAGCCGCTGCCCTCTGGCCGCCTAAAATAACCTTGGGACCCCCTGCAACTCCCGTTTGGGTCAGGACCCCCGCCGTGGGAAACGCTGCTCTTCCCTGTGAAATCTGTACACTACAGGGCACACAAAAGACCAGATTTCACGGGGGGAGACCAGATTTCATAGCCTGTGATGCGTTTTTTATGGCCGTGAATTTGGTAGGGCCCTAAGTATGAGTGTATGATGCGAGCCCTGGGCTTCCCCCACCCAGCTCTGCCGGTGCCCCTCAATCCCAACCCGCAGCCTCCTGCTAGCCCAGTCCTGAGCTGCCCCCAGCTCTGTCGGGGCCCCCCTCTTTCTCTCCAAAATGTGCCATCATAGTGGTATCTGGGCTCTCCCTCCTCCCCCATCCAACCTGCCATGCCAGGCATCTGGAGCATGGGGGTGGGGGAGCGCACCAGGCCGAGGGGCCGGGAGCTCCTGCCTTCAGCAGAGTGAGACTAACTGGCAGGGCTGACAAGCTGTCAGGTGCGCAGGGATCCCCGGCCTCAGCCCCTGCTCCCCCCTGGCCGGCTGGGGGCCAAAGGGGAGCTGGGAAGGGAGCCTGGTGATGGATCCAATCGATCGCGGCTGCCCCGGGGCTGCTCACTCCGACAGCTCCATGCAGTTGGGAGCGGGGGGCGGCCCGAGCTGAGCCCACCCCGTCGTCCCGCCGGGCGCCTGCCTGTCAGTGGTGTGAGGAGCCCCGCCGTTTGTCTGAGGTTTGTTTCTGTCTGTCCATCTGGTTTGGACAGCAGCCTCTTTGGGGGGCTGGGCGGGGGCCGTCTGGCTGGAGTGGGGGGTTATCAACGCTGGAGCTCCCCAGGCCTGATCCAAGTCCCAGACTTTGGCCTGGTCTGGGTTAGACGGTGCCTGGTAGCAGAGTGTGTGCAGCTGTCTGCCCCTTTCCACAGCCCTCAGTCCATCTCTCCACCCTCCCTATCCCTCCATCCACAGCCCTCTATTCATCCCCCACTCCATCCATCCATCCATCACCTCTATTCATCTTCAAACATCCGCACCCATCCTCCCACACGCTCTATCCATTCCCCCTCCCCTCCATCCATCCACATACACCTCTTCCATCCCTCCCACTCTGTCTATCCTGTACCTAACCATCTATTTAGCTACCCCACTCGTCCGATTCGTTGTCCCAAGCCCAAGACGTGGCAAAGGGTAAGAGTGCTTCCCGCACCCCTTTGCTCGCTACACCTCAGAGCCTTCACACACACAAAGGGGTGAAGTGTCACAAACCACAAGAGGTGGGTCCAGGTATCCATTCTTCTAGCATTTAAATCCAGCCACCTCTGGGGTGGGACGTGCCAGCTGTGTAACAGTCACCCAGCAACTCTGCGTGGGGATAGTTCACCGAGCACCGAAATGCAGCTATGTCTGGGGAGTGGCACAGCCGGTGTGTAACAGCCACACAGTAACCTGCACAGGGGTCGCTGGCCTAGCTGCATTGGCATTTGCTGAACAGCCTCACAGCAGACCAGGCAGGCAGTGAAAAAGAACCCTAGATCCAGCCCCGCCTGCAGGAGAGGGAAGTAGGGGAGGCAGACTGGAGTCACCGGAGCTTGGCTGGGGCCCCGGAGGATGGGGGGTGGGATGCTGTGAGCCAGTAGGGGGCACTCTTCTCTCTGTGTCAGAGCAGACCCCGGTGCCCCAGCACAGCACTAGGGGAGTGCTCTGCCGATGCCCCTCGACCTGGACCCTCAGCTCCCTCCCCCCCGGCTTTAAATCTCATTTGATGGCTGGCACCTCCAGGTGCTGCATGGGTGAGAGCATGGGGCGCTCTACTCCGTGCTGAGCCCCACTCCCCACAGCGCCCCCTAGCACCTGGCTCCCACCAACCCCTGCAGGAATGTAACGCCCAGTCCCATACAGCCCTATAGTACCCAGGCCCCACCCCCTACAATCCTGCCCCACCCAGGCTCCCCCGCACCTAGGGTGACCAGACGTCCCGATAAAATCGGAACTATCCCGGTATTCAGTTGTTTGTCCCGCGTCCCGACGGATGTATGGTCGGGTGCCATTTGTCCCAATATTCTGGCTCGGGGCTGGAGGAGTACCCTGGTGAGCCCTTTCTTTTGCTTTGGCGGCACCCCCCTGTGTCCATCCGTCCTTCCCCGGCCGCCCCCCTCTGTCCATCCATCCCCCTGTGTCCATCCGTCCTTCCCCGGACACCTCCCTCTGTCCATCCGTCCTTTCCCAGAGACCCCCCCTCTGACCATCCGTCCTTCTCCGGACACCCCCCTCTGTCTGTCCGTCCTTCCCCGGA